GTCTGACAAATGTTTCTATTTGATAATCATGTGAATAAAATGCCATTAATTTGCTTTAAGGTCTATAAAAACATATTTAAATCATGTCTCAGCCCTAATTTAAATATTTAGGTTTTACAATATTTCCTAATAAAAAGTATCTGCTAATTATGGCCCAAATCCTTTGTTTTTAAAACAGCTAATTGATCCAATACTTGAAGACATGAAACAAATTCAGTACTGTCAGTATTTGACCTGAGTGGGGTCCTTTCAATACAAAATGTGTTAGAGTTAGTTTTTTTTTTCTTTAAAGACACTACTGAAAGCAGTGAAGACTCTCACATAGAGAGTCAATCATATTCATATAGCCATCACAGAGTCTTCAAAAACATTTTTAAAYAGAGGTTCTCATATATGTTGGCATAGAAGAAGTGTTTGAAGAGTGTAAAAACAAAAGAATAAAAAAGATGAGAGAAAGAATGGAAGTGGAGAGTAAAGATGTAAGATTTTAAAGAGGCCCAAACCACAAGAAAGTCAGAGCCGAGTGCATGCTGGACATTCCCCGAGCTACAGCTCATGTACTTGGAGGGAAAAAGAAAAAAAAAAAGCTTTTTCAAGACAGGAAAAATGATTTCAGCTGTGTAAATGGACAGCGGCCTTGTAGCTGAAGATAAAAAAGGGAGAACGAAGGGAATCCTGCAGCTTTGGCATAACTGTTGGTCACAATGTAAAGTGCTAGGGCCAGATCGTTTCCCAAGATAAATGTTACCTCACATATCTGATAAAAATACACCTTATTGTGACGGTGGCRTGGCTGAAATAGAACAGTTTCAGAAACAGTGTTAGCTATCACGCCATGCCCCATCAAAGCGCTTACACACGCCTGCTATTTAGCCTCCGCTTTTCTATCTTCACATGTWGTCTCCGAGGGTGGCATGACAGTAAATCTTGGTTTCAGACATTGCGAAGCGATCATTTCATGAACAGTAGACAATAAAAGCATAGCTGCTTAGATGAATCATTTAATTATAACAACAGATGTAATTAGCGGTGGACTTTAAACAGAACTGCAGCAAATAGCTACTGGGACTCAGCCATATTTCTTGCAATAGCCACAGTTGGTTACAGACTGTAAACACATTGGTTTACATGATGACAGACTCGCTCTTTGACTTTCTATATGCAACCTGCGGGAGCGTACACAGTAGAAACCCAGCTCAGATAAAGACCAAAACTCAGCTTGGCAATGATATGTTAACAAGTTTCTGATCACAGGGTTACCCATCAAATGATTCAGAAGTGTGATCATCCTAAATTGGAGAGCAGATGTGAAGAGGGAAGATGGTGAGGATAATGTCTGGGTAGGAATGGAAAGACGGACACAGATAGCGGTGTAACATAATTCCTGGGTTTCACTGCAGAAAGGGAAGTGGTGACTTTTGGCTTCTGTGTGTRGAGGTTACATGAAAGACTCAGTGTCAGTGTGTTTGTGCACACAAGACAAGCTTGCACCTTGTATTTCTCTGCACTGAACACGTGGTGCGAGTTCAGGACCAAGTACGGGAAAGAGACGGAGTTTGAAAGAGAGTATTGTAGGTCTGTGTGCGCACAGAGTGCTACATGGTAATGTGTGTCTATTTAGACCAGGGTGGGGCATTTTATGTGTACGCAATCTACGTGCAAGCAGATGTGGGCACCACATCCACAAAACTGCAAGTCCTCTAACTACTGAAAACTGAACAGTGTTGGTACGGTGCAAATTACATGCATGGTATTAATGGTTTTAGGAGCGAAAGTCTGAGAAAATCTTCAGGTTATTTTCTCTGCTCAAAACTTCATCATGCAACAACCAACAAGACAACAAAAAGGCCAGTATGTCAACTTAAAAAAACCTGATGACAGAGCTGTACTCATCTGTGTCAAGAAATGCATGTCACCCACTGCCTTTACAGATTTAAACYAAAACCATCTTCTAATGAGATGGACAGAATTCAAGCTGTTTTGATCACAGAACGATAATTTCATGTGCTTCAAGTGCATGTTGAGAATTCAACATACACACTCAGCAGTGGCAGATCTAGGATTTGTCTGAGTAAGGGGCCATCAAGGGGCCACAATAGTCATAGAGTGGCCAAGTATTTGTTCAGCATCCTTGCACACAAATCCCTGGTTTTGGTAAGGTGTATATATTTAACCAGTCACATGCTTAAACTCTTGTAATGTAATTTTAAAAAAGCTTGCAAATGCCCCTTACCAATTTTACATGCATTTTACAGTACATACATAAAATACTCCCAAACACACATCAATGTGAGAGCGATCACTTGTGATTTGAAAGACTTTTTCTGCAGGATTGTTCAAATTTCAGGAAAAGACTTCTCAGCTTGATTCATGCTGGACCTTTCTATTTGACTAATTAGCACCTCTAGTGTTTGGACATGGAACTGCACCCAGCATTACTGTTCTTGGGCAAAGGACAAATGAGTGGCAGGGGCACTTCAGGGGGTCAATTAAATTTCAGCAGGGGCCAATGTCCCTGTGGCCCTGCTCCTAGAATCRCCCCTGACTCTCAGCTACCACCAAAATACTGCTCAGTATCTGTAAAACTGACAGAAATACAGGGATTTTTGTACAAGTGTTTTGTTGCTGAAGCTCAAGTCATGTGTCAAACTCAAGGTCCGCAGACCAAATGTGACAGGTGACTTMAGTCYGGCCTGCCAATGAGGTCCTTTTTTAATCATAAAAATAGATTTTAAAATTAATTAATTTATGACTCAATGCAACAAAATAAACTGATTTAAAAGGTGAAACATATTATTTGTCTGGCCCGAGTTACCCTCAGTGCAATTTAGKTGTGTTAATGTCTCAAAATAAGCTGCTTTAAAGCAGCATTGAGCATAAACTAAATATCCCATAATGCATGTTGATCATTTTACCTGCAAAATGACAACATSTTACCATTAGGTGGAGGTGCAAAGGATTCAAAAGGAGCTAAAAGCTGACAAAATTTACAGTGCAAAATCCCCATTTTTGCCAGCTACTTTTGCTACAACTCAGTTGTACTGGGAAGTGGAAGCTTCCCAATTACAAGTCTTAAATTTAAATTGGAATGCACCTCCTGTGGGAATTCCCTGTTGGAAAGTGGGAGAGTTCAGAATTCTAAACGGCAGCTACTCACCACAACTCAGTGAGTAAAACTCTCTTACTTTTACTTTTAATAGTTTTTCTGTTTAATTTATTCACATTCAGTCAGTCATACATGTAGTACTTTTCAGTGTTTATAAGAGGATGTGTTAAAACACTGTTTCTATGCAGGGAATACCACGTAGAGCTCAAGTGTTTGTTAGCTGTGCTCAGCCATATTAATAAGACAAGGAACATGACGATTTGTTTAGTCCCAAGTTAGGCCATTGACGACATACTTCCGTTAAAATTCCTGCCACGCACCTCCCTTCCACTYCCTGCTTACTGCCTTTGTTTTTAGCGTTAGCTGCTAGTACTGGTCTGTGAAAAAGTCGCAAAAGCTAAAGCATCTGTGAGCTACTGGTATAAAACATGAGTTCTGTTGTGTGCCGTTGTGTCCACTAAACAGCAGTACGATAGAGTAGTTAGTTTTTCTCCATTTTCCTCTTGATGAGGAGGAAAGGTGACAGCAGTGAATCATAGCATTACAGGCAAAACTTAGCTATAAAAGCTCACAATCGCGTTTGAAATCGGCATTTCTAACCGGAGGATATTCAAGAGCCAGCGACAGAAATGAGAAGACKGAGGTTACAAAAGGGAGATGTACAATTATCCCCCTTTACTGTCAAGACGAGAGAGGAAAGACCACCTCCAGAGGACAGCTAGGAGGAAGCTAACACAGTACAAAGGTAGGTGTGTGTGTGTGTGTGCGCACGTTTGTGTTATACAGAGTATGAAATTTTTTTAGGCAACTTTATCATGAGTTTTATGCAAAAGTAAAAACTTATTAGAGTGTATGTTTTAGACATTTCCCTGCTTTGAACCTGATTTGAATAAAAAATTCATGAACAGCCTTTTACATGAAGACACGCTGAAGAGCAGGGAAACTAAAACATGAAGGGTAGTGGCCCTTGTGGACCAATGGTGTAGACCTTTGTGGCATGTCAGACTGTCCCACTCACCAACAGCCCTGACGCCCTCTGCCTCCATAATCAGACCAAGAACCCTTCATATCACACACAGAGCAATGCAGATTGAAGTGGTCCCTCCTCTGCTCTTTCCTGTCGACTTTCCTTTTCCTCCACTTCACTTGCAGCTGCACAAAGCATTAGGCACCACTTTTATCTCCGTCATTACATGTGTTTGCCAGCTTCATATCTGCCCAACTGCGCTCTCGTTCACACACGCTCTGTGGGGCTGTGGTTTTCAAGGCAGCTATGACACAATCCAGATTCTTGCTGCCTATAGCAGGAAAATGCGTTTTGTGCTGAACTATTTTCCTCTAAAGTGCAGATTTTCCCTGGCCTACAGCTTTGATCCACATAGCGCTGGGGGGTGAGAGGTTGTGTCAACAGTCTTGTGTTTCAGCTGGAGGGCCCCCACAGTGTCACTCATTGCTCTGTGTCACATCGTACCACTATGAGGTGCTACTAACCACTGCATCAACAGATTGCAGACATCCCTAAAAAAACATGGACATTCACATGATGGCTTATATAAAAACCAGAAAACAACAAATACACGAGGTGACTTGATGGTTGCTTTTAAATAGGGTCACCTCAAAAGAGTGACTATTTGTTGAGTTTTATTACTGACTGGTTGGTGCATGATTTCAAAGGAGAACAGGATAAATCTGAGATTTATGAGCAGCAAAGATGTCACAGATAGCAGCWGAAATATGTAAAAGGAGGAGGAATGTGAGAGTTGAACTTACTAATAAATCCAGTAAACACATGAAAAAGCAATCATTGGTGTTTAAAACAGCACTTTTTAAACATAATCTATTCATCATGAAAAGATCATTTTGACAAAGGGGGTAAGGAGTGGGTTTGTCTTACTGGTAAATATCTTTTCGCAGCACAGTCCGGGTCAGTGGGTTATCGGCCTGAGGAGCCATGCTGAGGGAACCCAGCTTTAGCACCAGCGTGTCTTCTTTTTTCTCACTGGAATCTATGAAGACACTTCCAAAAATTACAATCCAAATCAAACCAATTGCGACATCAATACATTTTAATATAAACGTGGCTCATCTCAGCCCCTGCATCTTTACAGTTTTATTGTTTAAAAGAAACAAGTGTCCCACCTGAAGCTGTCTGTCTGTCCTGCGCTCCGTGGCAGAAGACCCTGATCACACTGGTGTTAATGTAAATGAGGGGCAAACACCTTGAAGTCAGTGTGTGGCTTCTCATTGGCTGACCTRCTGATTTTCCACGCTCCCTGTAGCGCCATGGTACTGATGCCTGAAAAAATGAAGTCAAAATTAAAAAGTGAAAAAAAAAAAAAAATCTAACTTTTGCCGGTTTTGTTGCTGGTTCCAGAAACATCTCCCACAATATAAAAACAGAAAAATGAGAAGCATTACAAACATCTCATTTTACACATTACAGCAACATTTTTAACATCTTACAACTTTTAATTTTCTTTTATTATACAAATAATCTGAACTCACTKTTTTTAACATTCACACACATTGATCAAGCATAAAAAGAAACATTTATTTTATTTTTTTACCTGGAACACCCCAGCCACAGTGGTGAGTAAGGGACAAAATAAAACCACATCAAAGGGCTGGGCCGTCAGCAGGATTTCTCTCAGGTACTGAGGTGAGCTGTCGGCCTGGGGGTCGGTGGCGACCCTTTGGTTTGCCACRGTAACGCTACTGCGTGGACGTTCGGGCCGAGAGGTGAGTTTGTGCCGAACGTTTTTGGTGACAGCCTGGGTGTAGGTTATTGACAGGAAGCCATGCTGCTGGTGAGAACCCTCCAGTACTTTAGCTGCCGTCTGATGTGAGATAGGACAAATCAGAACAATGATGATGATGTCATCACATAAAGCAACACAAGTCAAAAACATGTTCAGATATTGGTTCAGTTCCTTGGGTGAGGATCGAGCCTTTCTCCTTACTTTAAAAGGCAGTGATTTAAATCAAGAAAGATTTTAGACAAGACTTGTTAATGTTTAAAATTTAAAAATCCCAGGTTTGAGCTCAGTTTTAGGAAAAAGCATCGACCTCAGCCCAACAAAAGAGAAACTAAGAGAAGTTAAAAGAAACTTTCATGTGAAACTAAAAAGCAAGCCAAGCTGAAGCTACTAACAATCAGGCTTTCAGAACAAATGTAATCAATCTAGTTATTAAGAAAGAATCAGCAAATCAGTCCACTTCATGAAACAGCTATCCTTACAAACTTATACACGACTTTGATTTTGTAAAACAATCCAGTAATTTAGCTGAAAGTTTTTACTGATTTAAACTGGTTTAAAGACTGGTGGATTGATTTATTATCAACTGTAAAACATTCAGTAACAGTGGACCTCAGAGTTCATAAGATTTTGTTGCTTGTTAACGTTGTTTGACTTTATGATGTCATAAAAATATTTACTACAAACCAAAGAAAAAACAAATACTAAAATAAAATAAAACCCCTTAACAGCAAAATATATTAAGTAAATAACACTAGAACGAGGAACACATATTTAACTAATTTTAACTTGAGCCACTGTTGATGAAGGTTAAACAGAGTCAACAAAAATAAAGAAGAGCTGGATTCTTACAGGGGGGAAAAARCCAGAGAAGTGGCTGAAAGATTCTTGCTTGCTGACGGGTCGAACCAACACAGTGCGTCTGTTCAGCTTGTCAGTGCAAGAGAGGACCACTCCTCGACAGCTGCCCGAGCTCCGAACACCCTCCTCCAGACTGGAGGTGAGGAGAGGGAAGGTGATGGGACAGAAAGGTAGAAGCAGGAAAAGACCGTAAATTTCACAATGAAAGGAACAGGACAGCACGTATTCAGAACAAAAACGAAAAACTGAACGAAAGGCCAGATAAGCAACAAACTTCAAATTGTCAGTTAAAATTAGACCAAGAGCCAACTGATTATAACCACAGAGAGCTGAACCAGGATGAATCAGATCAAACAATAAGAAATGGTCTTATAGCACTGATTTGAATTTTTACTTTAGGATACTATAAAAAGCACTTTACGTTTTGGCCAATATTTAAACTTGATTAAAATGTGCCAATAACTTGTGTTTTTGTTGTTGCCAGTATAAGACCATCATGAAAAAAACAATTTATAAAAGGCCAACAGTCTCCTCATACACACTGAAAAGGTTGACCAAATTTTATTGGTTTGAGTATTCAGTTAACCTGTTACTGGAGAGACAGGTCAGTGTTTTGATGTGAAAAAAAAAAAACAAATTGTTTGAATTTAGATCTTTTTTGTTATTAAAATTTAAATTGTTAAACTTGTTCACAATTCAAATCAAACACAAAGTGTTTGTTTTTCCCGTCTGTCCAGCACCAGAGCAGATGATCTTAAACAGGAGCAGCAGTGAGGCGAGGAACAGTATAAAGGTCTAAGGTCACCATCACTGCTCTGAGACACAGAAGAGCCTCACCACAGCGGTCTCCTTGCAATGCAGAACCAGTCCTTCATAGTGACCAGAATGGCATCCCTGCCCTGGCCTAGAGAGACACGCAAGCTTAATGTGACCATGAGTGCTGCTGTGCCAGGACCAAACAAACCACTTTAAACCAAAAAGTAGGTACAATGTTGTACATAAGAGAGATGGAGCCTGGGAAACTTTTTTTTAAATTGAAAACAAAAAAGAAACTTTAGTTGGCATGGCAGCATACAGTAAGAATAAAAGAAACATTTTTTTCAGTTCARTGTTTCATAAAACCAGGCAAATACAAGTTCAGTTTTTAAAACAAAACACTGTACATATAAAAATACATACATATAAAATGTTTTCTGCCATCCTGACAATCAAAACACTGCATACTAACARGCTACTATCAGTTTTCACAGATAACATTTAGTGTTGCCTACTGGATATGGAGCACACTGGTTTGTGGGATTAGTTGGGGGCTCCTGACAGTGAAGTGATGGACAGCTCCTCACACTTTAAAGACTGGACTGTTGAACAGCTGAAAACATGTGTTTTGGTTTGTGAYGGACCAACTTCTAATCAGATAAAAGACAAACTTGTTCGGAACTTTTACACGGCTCAACTGTTGAGATTAGTGCCTGCAATATTAATCTGGAGAAGCAAAACAGAGGTAAGGTTATACTGTTGTGCAATAATTTCACTATAAATATAATCAATTATTATAATAGCTCACAATATCAGATATATTTCCAGATATTATACAGATAAAGTGATTTTATTGACAGCAGTATGAGTAGAGGATCTACAGACCCACCTATGATTCATTAAATGCTGAATATAAAACATCCAATTTAGCATAAATATTAATATAATGTGTTTTGTTTTAATGGTGATAAATGCATTTATTATGCTATGCAGCCTTCTGTCTGGGTATTCTATTGTTAATAAACAGTACACAGTTATATAGATGTGTTCATTGAAGATAGGCTGTATTTATAGATTTAGTTGAAATGGCAAAAATGATCTGCAGCTAGAGCTGTCACAAACGATTATTTTTTAGTCGATTAATCACCGATTATTTTTTCGATTAGTCGACTAATCG